AGAAAACTACTTCATCTAAAACCGGCCCCTTACCCACAATTGCTGCAGACGGCGAATAAAGTTTGATCGATCCCAAAATTCCGGTATTCACATAGTTTTTGGGAGATCCCTAAAAGGGGTTACTTGACTCTGGCTAATGCCCTACTTCTCATGTTTGTCATTGCAATAAATTAAAAGGGAAAAAAAATAATAGTACTAATAATTAGCAACTATTCGTATCTTGTTTAATAAGGAATAATTAAAATCCACATGCCCAAATTATTGTGCCTATATCATCCCAAAAAGAGCCTATATCCTATATATTAAAGTAAGTCCCTACAGGATATACTAAAATTTACTGGTTTGCATCTCTGGCTAACAAAGGATAATACAGTCTTCTAGCAAAGGCTGTAGATTTGTCAAAAACAGGTAGCCTGCCTGCCTTCCGATGAGAAGCTAGATACTGTAAGAAAATATCGGTTTTTTTCTTTTTTGCATTAAACCCGTGGGGCATGAACCTGGTTATCATCTCTGCTTTTAAGTCTGGCGAAAGTGTCTTTCTCTCTCTCTTTCCCAGCAACAAAACCCAGCTGTTCCTGTTGGGGCTACGTCCAATGTCAAGACAAAGACTCCGACACTGTTTTTTTTTTTTTCTTCTTTTGGGGGAGGTGCCGCAGCTGCCTAACCCCCAAATATCCTAATAGCCACACAGGGCCGGACCAAGCAGGAATTTTGCAGCATGTTCCTTAAAACAAAACCTCCAAGCAAAGAAATTGAATCATTACACGGAAACTAATATTTAACTAGAAACCAAAAAGTTTAAGCAAAGAGTTTTGTTGAAACTCAGCAATAATTATGTGTTACTGTAGATAATTGCCATTTTTTTCTTTTTTTTTCTGTTACAATGAGAAATTGAGAATTCCAAGGTACTTCTCCCCCTAAAAAAAAGAGCCTAGACAATAGCAAAGGAAAGCAATTTTGTCACATTTCATTTCTGAATTCTGAAATGGAAACCAAAAGAAGTGAAAAGAAGAAAGAAAAAGGATTTGACCATGTTTATGCTTCCAAAAATCCTGTCATTCTAAGAACTGAATTCCGGACTTGACTCAAATCCCTTCCTTTAAGCGTCCTTCCATTGCCAGTACAAACCGAGAACGCCATTTTCCCAGCAATTCTCCTGCCTAATATCACATGGGGCGGCACTATTTCTCCTTCGTCGTCTTCCTCTTCCTCGAAATCATCGGCTTCACCACAATGGAAAAGAGCATCCTCACAATGCCGCGGAATATTAACAGGAAGCGAACTGGCTATCTTCTTCTTCTTGGTGTTTTTCTTGGACTTGTTGTTACTGTTACGTGCTGAAACACGGCCGTTTTTGGAGAATCCTCTGTAATCCAAGCACCCGTCATCATCCTCGTCATGCGTGCTGTAGTGGTTGCTGTTGTCGGAAAAGATTACCTCGGACTCTTGGAATTCTTCCTCCGCCATGGACAAAAACGGGGAGTCGGACTAGATTGTAGAACGAAGGCCCAGAGGAAAGTAGTGTCTCAAGGAGAATGGAACAGTGAGGGGGAATTGAAGGGAAAAGAAAGGGTATTTATAGGAGAGAATCTAAATCGTAGCGAGTACACCATTGATTGTTTTTATGTGTTGGTGTTTGAGAAAAGATGGCGTCATCTAAAAGGCGTTGAGTGCGGTCCCCGCTTTCCTATATACATAATAAACTTATTTTTACATGTCTATTTCTCTTCCAAGTGTTGTATTTTTTCGCCCAAATTATTTAATTATTATTATTATTATTATTATATTCTTATTCCATCGTAATAGTTAAATTTGATCGAATTAAAATATTCAAAAATATAAATATTATAATTAAAAAATGATTAAATTAATCCTTATGTTAAACTAAATATATAATGGTATACAAATATATATATATATATATATATATATAATGGTATAATTGATAGACAAATCAAATGTTAAAAACAATTTTATCTTGTTTATTTTAATGCAATAGAGGATAATAAATAATACACAATTTAACGTTTTCCCATTTTTTTATATTTGGTTGATTATGCGATTCTGTGTCTAGCTTGTGCCTATGTTTTTCTAATTGTGTAAGTTATGTAGTCGGCTGCCTAAAACAAGGCTTCTCTGATCTCTTCCTTTTCTTGTGGCTCACGGCTTTCTCTTTGTGTAGCTTCTTCAGCTAATTTCTTGACTTGACTAAATTGGCTCAGCCTTTTTCGTTTTTTTTTAAATTATTTTTTGTCTTATTTTTCCCACACAATATTTGATTAATTATATGCTTTTCTTATTCAGTTGGATTCTATATTGGAACTTCTAAAAACAAGCTATTTGGGTTTGGCTTTGATTTCAAAATTTGACCTTTTTTTCCATAGGTTTCCAATGCTTTAGTTATGATTCAAAGAAAGGGATAATTAATTTCCTTAGAGTTCTTAAATGTTTGTACTCTATTTGGTTTGTGGTCCTGCATTCTGCCTTTGGGACCCTGGACAAATGTTAATTGGAACTTGGAGATGTGTTAGGATTGCTAAATTTTGATGATGATATGTCGTGATTAAGGGAAGAGATTCCCTCCCTACATGGCTACACTTGAGAAAAATGGTGTCATCTTGACTAAACATTTATATGGCAAAGAAAAGTCTCCTTTTGTAATTGTATCAACATACTCTCCTAATCATGAAGTAACAAAATTCAATTTTCTTGACTTGTTTTGATGATGATGAAATGATATTCAATACAAGTATTAGAGATTTTTTTGCAGTGTATTTTCTTCATAACAATGCTTACATTTTCATTAAAGGTTAATAATTATGTGAAATTAAATGTAAAAAAAATAATATAATTTTTTTAAAAGAAAAACACCAAGTCTAAGTCAATTCTCTTCATGTGCAATTTATTCTTTATTAATTTACTTAGTACTAAAAATATATAAATATTAAAATTAGAAGGATTAATTATAATTATATATAAACAAATGTACAGATCATTGCTTTGCCAACAAGAAGACGAAACACACAATTGGTTTTAATAAATTCCCCAAAATTATTTTCTTTGGGACAAAAAAAAGGGTAAATGTGGCTGAAGAAGCCGAGCCGAAGGGGGAAGTGGCTTGGCGGAACCGAGCCCAGAAATGCTACATTTAACCATTACCATTCACACCAATGATTGGGTGAAAGTCTGAAAGGGCGTAAGATTAAAGCTATAAATCCACCAGCTCGGCGTATCCTACGGCTCATGCTCCGCATAAGACTCAGAGGAAGAGGGGTGGCCCCCATGCTTGTGAGGTCCACCTAATCTATCCCCTGCGAATGATTTCGAATAAGACAAGCCACTTAGATATAGCCACCTAGCGAATGACGTCAACTGCGGCTGCGAACAAACATGAGACGCCGGTGGTGGGGAATCTCATTTTTCCGTCCGCTTAGGTGCCACGTCGTCAACAGTTTTTTTCCTACAAGTCATTGCAGTAAGAAATAAAAAAAAAAGATTATTTTGTTGCTAATAATTGGGTGAAGGGAATTCATAGTTCTAAAGGAGATAACAATGTCTTGAACGTTGATGTTCAAGAAGCAAACAAAAGCACATGAATTAAAAAAAAAAAAAAAACTAATGATAAAGAGGTTCATCGAGATTTTTGCTTTTAATTGAAAATATTTACATGTTTATTACGTGTCTGTTTATTATAAATAGAGAAATATTATTTCTTTTAACATAAACACAATAATTGCACAAATATCATTTGAGAAGGTTTTACATTAAAGAGAGAAGAGCTATAAGAGTCATCAAAAACCTAATCATAATGTTCTAAATCTATCCCTTTCGCCTTTTTGTCTTCGATATCAAAAGAATGTTGGTACGAATAGAGTGGGGAGGAATAGGAGAATAGAGAGAGCACGAAGCCTCATGAATTTCATCACGGAATTGGGGATAAACAGCCCTAATTAGAGCAAGCAAGCAAATTGGAATTTAGGGATCAGGTGAGTTCCAATCGAAAAGCAACATCTATAGAGTTGGTTGGCCATTAATTTTTCTTTTTAAAGAAAAAGACCTTAACCCGTTGATTTTCAAAAGTCGCTCTCTTCCTTTGTTTTTTTTTATAACTCTTGCCAATGCTTGTTAGATTTTTTTTTTTTGTGTTACATGGAAGTTCCTGATATTGATTTCAATCTCATTCGTGGTTCAATTCTTGAGTTCGTGAGAGCTTGTGTCACGACATTGAGTTCCATTTGGTATTTGGAATTTGAACGAGTTTAAAGTTATTTATTTCAAATAAAAAAGGTCAATCTTCTCTTAAATTTTGAAACTGTTGTACAGTGTGGCTACAAACATCACGATTCACGAGTCAAATTTAACAAAAAGAAGTAAAAGGAGGATAAGGTTTTAGGAAGTGAAGGTTGGAAGAAGTTTGGGTTTTATCTTGTCCCTAGTTATTCCTTGCTTATCCGCAAGTACATTGATTTTGTACTTTTAAGAGGTTTGTTAAGGAAGGGAAACCTTGTCACAGATAAGATTATTCTTGTTTTTAAGAATTTTAGTTCAAAACACATAAATGAAGATTTCTTAAGGTATTGGAGGGAAGATTAATGTTTTTCATTTGCCCAATAGAAAAAAAAATATGTGAAGGTTATTCTAAATAACATATGGTTATTCAATTTGTTTGTGTAATTTAATTGACAAAAAGTATTAAATAAAGTTGTACTTTAAATATATTTATGTGTGTATATATATATATATATTAAAATAATATAAATCTATAACCAAGAGAAGGTTTGAAGATATCTTTCCCCTAATATTGATGGTGCTTGTTGAGCTTTTAGTGAACAATCAACAATAAGTGGTGTACTTAGAGACTCCCTTAGTCATTGGAAAGGTGGATATGCCATGCGATTGCGAAAACGTATTGCATATCAAGTGAAGCTTTGGGGATATACAAAGGTTTAAACTATGCATGGGATTTGGGATTTAGGAAGATTGTTCTTCTAGTGGAGAGCAAGCTAGTGGTCCAAGCAATTTTTCTTAGAATACTCATCCATGCTTCGATTCAGATTTGGTCCAAGGCATTCACAATTTGCTCAAGGGAGAATAGGAAGTTTGGATTTGTCATATATTCCGAGAGAGAAATAGAGTTACAAATTTTATAATCAATGAAAAATTTAGGATTTCTAAAAATTTTCAAGCTTTTAATTCTCCTCCAACTAAAGTTAGAGATTGATTATTTGAGGATGTAATTGGTGTATGTTACTCTCATTTGATTAGACAATAAAACTTTTCATCTATTTCGATCTTATTACAAGTATAAACTTTTAATGTTGATTAAGATAATAAATATTAAAAATTATTTTTAAAAAAATGATGAAAAGTGTTTTTACATATAAAATATGAATAGATTGGAAGATTACTTGTGTGCAAATAACTAAAAAAATGTCTTATCGGATGGCTAAGAGGAAAAAAAAAATGAAAAAAGAGATTGAATTTATTTTTTTTAAGGAAATTTCATCGGCCCAACATTCACCACTTCTCAAGAAGATGGCCCAACCCAATTAGTATTATTCTTTAGAAAAACAAAAAGGAAAAGAGAAAAAGGAAATCCTCCATCTCTGTTCCTGTCTCGGTTCTGTCTGAAAGACTGAAGCGTGATAGTTTAACTGGTTCAAAGCCAAAAACTCAAAGTGGGTTCTTTAATGAAGAAGAAAGGCATCCATGGCTTTTAGTTGCGGTCATTCAATAAGTTATCCGCTCTCTCCATGGGCCGAAAACAAGGTTAATATAGTTGAGAGTTCCAAGGAATTATTGGTTTTTCCTTTTGCCACTTTTTTTTTACCCAGTGTTTCTAATTGACAAAAGTTGCTATTTTTCCTTTTACAGGTTCGAAGAAATGAAGTGTCTTTGTTATTGGATTCTGGGTTTTCAATTTGCAGAATTTCCTACGTAAAGTGTTCCCAAAAGTTGGGTGAACAATCACTGAGCGTTTCAGAGGCTGTTGAGAAGTGCGTGTTGTTGAAAATTTGATATCAATTTATCAAAATATTGAATGCCAATGTTAAGTTAGATGCCTATAGTCATAAATCATTTGAGTGTGTAGGAAACCAGTGAAGAAGGTGGGAAAGAATGAGCATCACTTGTGGAAGAAAAGAGATTCAGCTGGCTCAGGACAGAAGGCTCTCAATCTTGTTAGAATTGTAAGTTTACTGTCATCGTTTTCACTTTACTGAGCTTTGTTTCACTTTATTATGTAGTACTCGAAGAGAAAATTATGCAACCTGTTTCTGTTTGGTGGTTGTTTTTGGTTTTGTTAAAATGGGCAGATTTCTCAACTTCCCAATGAGAAAGAGGCTGTTTATGGAGCATTGGATAAATGGACAGCTTGGGAGACTGAGTTCCCATTGATTGCAGCAGCTAAGGCTTTACGAATTTTGAGGAAGAGGAGCCAATGGCTGCGTGTAATTCAAGTATGTTCGTATTCTTGCATTCTGTATTTAAGGGTTCTGAAGTGGTACCATTGATGTAGGGAAGCTTATAAATTGTTATTTTTGGATACCTTCTTTGTTTTGCTGGTTCAAGTTCAATATGTGTAAGCCTGCGATATAGACATTCTTCAATTTTATTTCAGTGTGTATATATTAACATAGCCATGTATCATCATTATTGATTTTAGATCTTCTGGAATGAGTGATGCAAAAGAAAGTTATACTTTACTCATGCAGAAAGATTCATGGAATAATTAGTTGGTGTGCTTCTGCTGATTCAATCTGTTTGACCGATGGTTATACAGAATGAATCCTATAATTTAAGTTGTGATTGCTGGCTTAGTTGCATAAGTATTTGTGTGGGGCTAAATTGGATTTTACAGACTTGGTGATGCTCAGGTGGCAAAGTGGATGTTGAGCAAAGGCCAAGGGGCAACGATGGGAACATATGACACCCTTCTACTGGCATTTGATATGGATAAGGGAGTAGATGAGGCAGAATCCTTATGGAACATGATTTTGCATACACACACCCGTTCTATCTCAAAGCGATTGTTTTCTAGGATGATCTCTTTATATGATCATCATAACATGCAAGATAAGATAATTGAGGTATGTGATCCACCAATTCACATATCATGGAAAATGGTTCTGCAGTTTTTATTTAACTCTCCTATTCTATTTTTGAGAATTTTATACTAAATAAGCTAAACATGCTTTGGTTCTGAGGTTTTAGTTTTCCATTTGTAGGTTTTTGCAGACATGGAGGAGTTGTGTGTAAGACCAGATGAAAACACAGTCAGAAAAGTGGCCCGTGCCTTTCAGAAACTTGGCCAAGAAGACAAGCAGAAGTTGGTTCTTAGAAGATACCTGAGTAAATGGAAGTACATTCACTTTAACGGTGAGCGTATCAGAGTGAGAAGATATGAATCAGATGAAGATTGATGTTTGATCTATTGAATGGCACTCTCTTAGCATTCAATGGCATGATATGATGCCTATATCTATTGCATTGGGCCTTGCCAAGTAGGAATATGAGTTCATGGGTGCAGCAACAAGGCATCTACTAATTCACTTTCCCCATGATAAGTGGCGCACGCTTGAATGTTATTTGAATATTTACATCATTTCTGGTGGGTTGTGCCTACTATTTAAGCATAGAGGTTGGGGGCCTGTTCTTCAGTTGTCTGGGGTATGTGTGCAGAGGTTAAAAGCAAAGAAAAAAACAGAAAAGAGGGGGAAAGGGGAGGGAGGCCAAAATAATTTTCACTGTTAGTTTAAAACATAGTTTTGTACTCATCAGTGATTCAAATGATTTTAAAACTCATAAAGCTGCAACAAATATAATTCTAGTAGAAGAGAATGTTTCTACTTTGAATTTTGGGGTAATCAGTTAATTTCTTTGAATGCCTGTGACTGTGAGGTAGTAGTCATCACAAAGTTGTAGGATGGCAGACTACCAGATGTTGAATGACGATTGTAATGGCTGCTAAGGCAGTGTGTTTAATAATTTTCAATTTCAGTAAATGATTGTTTGGAGTAGCTGCATTCATTATGTGCTTTCATTTGTGGGGATTCTGGTAGTTCATTGGTGTGAGCCATAAACGGGGTTCTCTCACCAGCTTTTAGGATTTTTGTGTTCTTTAGAACGTTGCATGTACTTGAAACAATATTTCTTGCTTGTAGAGTGCCATGGAGTATATAGTTTTGACAATTAAGTAATTAACGATCTGAGTAAGTGCATATTCTGAGGTATGAGGAAGATTGCTCAGTGAAATCATTTTATTCTTGTGGTAAACGTTGTTTGCAAATAACAGATTTGAGAAGGCTCACAATTCAAACCTTTCTTAGTCAAGTGCAGACAACCGGTACACAAAAACATCAATAGCAGAAATGTTATCTCCAAGTTGAAGATAACATTTGAAGTTAATGCAAGAGTGAGAAAATGGAGCAAGTCTTGGTTATAGTCATATGAATGTGGGGAAAATTTAGTGAAAGAATAGAGTTACTTTATACAATTATTAAAACAAATCCTATACTAGTAGTTTCCTTGAGCACAGTTTTCTACCAATTCTTTGCCCCATAAAAACGAAGAACCTATAATTATGGTAAATACACTGCCATGGGACTTCTTACACGATAGAATCCATCAGTCCAAGTGTAAAAACCAAACCCATACGCAGACCTCTTCGCTATGGGATCAGAATCTTTGGGGGATACTGTTATGTTGAAGCTCTGCTTCTGGCCAATATGGTCGAAGAACAAAATACTTGGTGAGGCCTTCACATGGACTCCTGGTGGCGGTTTGGCTGCAAAGTAGTATTTACTGTTGCTGGAACCAACATTTGTGACTGTCCTCGTAATAGTGACAGTGCTACTAAGGTTGGGAATTGCAAACGATGGATAATTGAGGTTGACTGGTGAAGGTGGATCTTCAGGGCACTTAAATGTAGAGTACAACTTGTTTAGGCCAAGGCTGCAGAGATAGAGAAGGTAATCATCATACGAGGCATCGTATATGAGACCAGGATCTGCTGCCTTAATAGGCTGGAAATGGCCGGCTCCATATTGGAAGGGAGTTGCAGTATTGCCAACTTCATCTGTAATTAGCTGATCTAAGTTGTTTGTTATCCGGGCTGTGACATAGAAATGTGATGTTTTAGAAAATGAAGGTCTAGAAATTACAAGGTTATAACTATTCAGGATCCATAAACGGATCCTTAAGTATTCTTACCTGTGGTCATTAGAGCAGATCTTATAGCAGCAACGCTCCAATCGGGGTGTATGGCTCTGAGAAGTGCAGCTGCACCAGAAACATGGGGGCAAGCCATGGAAGTTCCTGAATCAAAGTTGTATTTCACTATTCTGTGATCATATTCCAACTTTGTGGGAGATGATGCTTCACTCCATGCTGCCAAAATCTGAATTCCTGGAGCCGTGATATCAGGCTACCAGAGAAAAACCAGAAGACATGTTAAAAGATAGTATACAGACAAAGAAATTTGCTATAAGTCCTAAATTTAAAAATGTGACATCATTGGATTAATTAATTTAGATTCACAAATTACCTTGAGAATATTGAGATCAATCACATTTGGACCCTGACTGGTGAATCCAGCCATGAAGGGTGCAGGTTTATAATGCATTACTGTCTGGGCTGGACTGATGGTTGCCATCGGATTCTCTGTAGACCTAATGTATTCAAGAATCTTAGTCGCATCCTTGTAACTCACGGCAGATGCAGGAAGAAAATGGGGGTCACATGATAGTCTATTTCCATTGGCCTCTGCGTTGCCTAAGATGAGACCGACACCACCAGCTCTTTTCACTTCAAAGCCTTTATCTAATCTCCTTCCAGCACCTCGCATGCACACCACAATCTTCCCTTTGACCATATCAGGGTTAAGGGAGCCTGGGAGGCATTGCCTAAAATAACATCCGATTTATTCAAAAATTAGATAACATTGAGAAACCGAAGCAAATTAATTCTACCTTTATCATAAATTATACTCTACTCCAATTAACACTATCAAATAAAGGGAAAAAAATCCTTACCCTGTAGAGTTTTGAGGCACATCAGGGAACACTGCGTCTCCTGCATAAACTAATGGGTACATCTCATTTTCCAACTTGTCTGGTGCAACAGTTTGTCCCTAATGCGACAAATAGAAGAAATTACAACCTCCAATCAAAAGTATAACAACAAATCCTTACAACAACATATCTGATCGTATCTTACCATAATTTCCCGACCATTCCCTAGCATGACAGGTGCCAAAAATGCCCGGTCCAAGCTGCTAGCACCAACAGTCATCAACCAAGGCGCCGGGTTAGACAATGTTCCAGGGGCAGGACCGTTGTTCCCAGCACTACAAACCACAAGGATGTTGCGCTTCGCCGCATGCAATGCACCGACTGCAAGGTAATCCTTTTCGTAAGGCACAGGATCACTGGTTCCAATGGAGATGCTAATTATATCAACACCATCAGCTATGGCGTCATCAATGCCTGCAAGTATATCTTCAAACATACATACGTTGCCATCGGCTTTTGATTGGTTAGGTATCGCCCAGCAGACCTTGTATATGGCGAGCCGGGCAAAAGGAGCCCCTCCGGACGCTGTGCCTCTTGCCAGCCCACCAAGGGCAGCAACGTCGGGGACTTGTCGGCCAGCCGCGGTGGACGCCGTGTGGCTCCCGTGGCCGTCCATGTCTCGTGGTGAGAGGTAGTCTTCCGTCGCATTTACTGGACCTTTCTCGTGCTCAAAACCCTTCACATAGTATCTGGCTCCAATTATCTTCCTGTGTAATAAAATGGAATACAGACAAGAATAGAAAAAGATGTTTATTATTTAGTTTAATTCATAAAAATAATTTTAAAATAATTAAAGAATAAATAATAAAATAATAAAATTTATATCAAAAGACAAAAATTATATTTTACTCTAATTTAAATAAATTTGTTTTTTTAATCTTTTAATTTTTTATTTTTATTAAAATTTTAAGAATTTAATTGTTTATTATTAAGATATGAACATATTTTTTATTTTATATCTGTTTGCATTTTTGATGTTTTAATGTCTATTTTCATTCAAATTTAAAATATTAATAATTTAATAATTTAAATATTAACATTTTAAAATTTTATTTAATTTTAAATTTTAAATCTTATTTTTTAAAATTTATAATTAAAAATGTAAAGTTTTCTATTTTAATTTTTGTTAAAAGTAAGCAAATGCATTTTGATATTAAATATTTTGGAATCTATTTCCATGAGTAATACTATATGCAAGACTAGTTCTGGAGCAGTTTTGACAGTGGCAACAACTAAATGCTACTTTGATATTTTACAGTTTTCTATTGAATTGTTGAAGGACGAAATCAACTGCCTGCCCTGTTACAGGACTGGCTAGTAATTTGTGAAAGGCATGATGTTTTACAAACACACTGATGGAAATGCTTGAAACGAAACAAATCAAAAGAGACAGTGCAGGTCGATTTCCACAGCCTTCTGGTAGGCCGAGGGGAACTAGGTACATAGACCAAAACAAAAGAGACTGACCCCAGTGGCCGGAGCATTGGGATGATCAAAGTTCACGAGATTGGAGGAAGAAAAAGCAAGAATACAAAAGCAATAAACACCAGTCAGATTACTACCTTTGTTTCCTGTGAAATAGACAAGCACAGTCTTGGGGCTCATCAGTGCCATTTCTTCAACAAAACAACATTGTTACCATCCAATGAACAAATCTAGAGACGACAAACCCTTCGTAGGGCAGGTGCTGGCTGTCAACGGAAGGCCAGCCCTCCAATAATACACAATTGATTATCTTGTAAAATACTGAATTAGTAAACCAAATAAACCCCCCAAAAAAATATATTTACCAACTTTTGTTTTGCAATAAGTTAACTGTATAATAGTAGTAATTAATTTAATGAGGTAAGTGAGAATCAAGGGGCATTGATCATATTACTTTATTCGAAAGAGACAAGGGTATTAAGATTGAAGGTCTCATATATGGTCAATGCTGAAGCAAAAAAAAAAAAGTCTTTCAAAAAAAGTTGATGAGTATAGTTTTGGCGTAATTTACGCGTCTTAATTCAAGCTTTTGAAAGGCTTTCTTGTTTCAAAGTTGGAATGCAAGATTCCAACGCCCTTTTTAAATAAGTTTCATCCAATACTGCCTAATGGAAAGTGGAAAATGTCTTATCGTTGGAAAATGACTCAATTTCTGAGCACAGGAGAACATAATTTAAAGCAAATTAGAACATCTTTGATTTCTAGAGAAACTTATGGGTCCCAAATGACTAGATCAATCCAAAGAGAAAGGGTCCTCATTCTACTGCATAGATCATTTTTTTACCTTTGATCTCATAAGTGAAGAAAAAAAAGGAGGAAATTAATTCTGGTGAAAAATGATTAAAGTTGGTCGTAGGTAGACTAAAAGGAGAAAATCCTCAAAGAAAGAGAGAAATTTATTCACCTGTTGCAGTGGGATGAGTTAAAAGCGACTCCCTCTTGGCAGATTCCTTTCCATGATTTCGACTCTGGGAGGGGTTCCATTCCTTCGTCACTGAAGCTCGGTGATTCTGGCCACACCCCTAAATCAGAAAAAAATTCAAACCATGATCAAATACCAAGGTATATTTATCTAATCCTATTAACCAAAATAAATTGGTATATTCGACAAGCTTCTGTGAATGCTACAGAAGCAATACTGAGTTGGTAGTCACATGATTATCAGATAGTGTTGTGTTCACGCACATATATATATATATATATATATATATTTCAATATAGATTATAATTTTTACCGCTATCCAATACTCCAATAATGACATCTTTGCCGTAGCTAGCTTTAGCCAACAAGTCTTCTCTTCCCATATTGGATTCATGCCCTGATGATAGGCCCTCTTCCTCATTTAACCCTACAAATTCCCATGACCTAGTGGTCTGCAGGGAGTAGTTTCTTGAGCGTGCAGGAAACACTGATACAACTTCTTCCATTTCTGTGGTCAAAAGACAGATGAGAGAAAGGATTATATAGAATCCCCATGAAAGAAATGAGAAAAAAGGGGAATGAGGAAGTAATGCACTGCTAATTACCAGAGAGCTTGGAGGCTTCATCTGGGGTGAGCACTGCAGCAAAGCCATTGATGCTGTGCTTGTAGCTGTAAAGAAGGGAAGATTGAGCATCTTCTTTCGTTTCTTTCACAGAATACAAATATGATTGATGAGTTTCTTCAATCTCATGCAATCCTTTCTCCCCACTGTGTTCCCCGAAGTGAACTATATACACCTACATGACAAACTGTTAAAAGAAGAAAGGAAGAAGAGAAGACAAAAAAAAAAAGTCACGAGAAAGCAAAAACCTGTTTCTCTAAACATGAGGCCAAGAGAGGAAAGAGAATCAAGGGAAGAAAGAACCAATAGATCATCTTCATGGCTACTGATTGAAGCATAGAGAGTATGCAAAAGAGATTATACGATTTGATAAAAGTTTAAAGGTGTACCAACTCCAATGGTAAATGGAGCTTTATGGTTGAAAGGTTCCTATCGTTAAGAAACTTTCTTTTCGACTGCATTATTAATATTTTTTTTTGAAAAAGATTGCATTATTAATATATTATATATTTATTATAATATTCTTTAAAAGTGTATATATTATAACTGTATCCGAGTATTTAATATATTGATTAATGTATGATTTTTTTATTTAATAAAAAAATTCTAACACTTTGCTGAATTATTGTGCATATATATGTTAATTACTTTGAGCACCAATCAAGTCAAATTCATGAGTATGCACAGATATTTTATTTGAGATGCAGGATATGAAAGGAATCTATTAACAACTATGATTATTAGTAACATCTGCATGAATATATGTCATTTACTGATTTTAGTGATTTAAGGTTTTTGAGAAACACAATAAATTTATTTAATTATTTATAATTAAAAAAGCTTTTATAAAAGAACTATTTAGGGATATAATATAATTTGATATGTTTTCAATTATGTCAAAAAATGCTTTTGAACATGATTTTAAATGTATTTTTGATAAATTATTATAAATTGAATTTGATTAATTATAGTAGTATAAAATATGTATGGTTGTGCTAATTCTGTCTCTCTCTCTCTCTCTCTCTCTCTCATATATATATATAGTCATATTTAATGTTCTGATATCTATGTTTATTTATTTGTGGTTGTATCTTTTAAATGTTGTTAGGCAAGTGGTGTTTGAGATTTTTTTTATTATATATTTGTATTTTTAGATTGATTTTGTTTGGTTTAGGTGATGTACTCATTTGAGCTACTTATTTATATAAAAATCACCATAGATAATTTCATATAATTAGGTTCGGTATGGGAGAGAGTTGGAAAATTAAGGGTAAGCTGGGTCCTAATTCATCTAACATTGAGGCTAAATGAATTAAAGAGGGTGATTAATAGCTGTGTCTTTAAGGTGGTTCCAGCTTTTTGAGTGCTAATTAACGTGGTTATCATAACCTGTAATGGGTCATGTTTGTATTAGGATGAAATTTTATCCATAATCTCCAAAGAGACCACCAATTCCATTTCATATATATTCAAATGACGAGATAAACCATAATGGTATCAACGTAATTGATCTCTTCATCACAAGAACTAGGATAAAAAAACTCAAACCATAGGCTTATAATTCATTTATCCTTCTAATTACTTTGCAAAATTTGCATATCGCAATCTCTCCGTTTCTATTTTTTTTTTTTTGCCAAGCTCTGGCTTTCTAGTTTTGATCCCACATGATGGACATATTAGGTGCATGGCCACTTTTATTTTGGTGCGTTGCATGCCCATTTGAATACGGCATACAAGCCTGCATTTTGCAGCTCAAATTTGTCAAAATTGTGGGCAGTTTTTGGATTGCCTTAACTATTGAAGGCCCTCCCTACAGCATGCTTGCCATACCCCTCTCAATGCTAAGCTAACACTTTGGATTCTTTTAACTTTTCTTGGCTCTTGCCATTCAGATATGTTAGTTGATTGTCAATTGGTACAATCAACATAAATATAATAATTATAAGCAATCTATGTATACCAATAGCCACTCGAACATGAAAGCTCCTAAGAGAGCAGAACAGATAATGGATAGAAAGTTTTTTCCTTTTAATTTTTTATGAAGAGTAAAATTTGGACCTATAAAGAAAGAAAATGGGTTGGGCAACATCAAAATTCTTCATCAACTATAATAGTGCTAGCTAAGACATTTATAGGATTTCATGTAAACTCCATGAATCTGCCAGCTCTCTCAAGAGTTTCACAACATCATCTGATGATCCAAGGAGATACCTAGCATTCGATCTTTTCCTTGCAACAGAGCAAGAAAAGTAATTGTCCCCTTGAAGGTCAAGTACTGAAGAACCCTCATGCAGTGACATTCTCTCGGGCACCGTTGATTGCGAAGCACCTCCGATTACAGGATAGCCTGTGTTCCTTTCTAAAGTTGACAACGACCGTTGTTTCTTAAGGCGAGCTGCCTTGGACCCACTTCTACTCACTGGCAGCTTCGAAACGGATGTCCTGACAGGTGTTGGTACCTGGGGTCTTACCGGTGGTGGGGCTTCTGAAGGAAGCTCGGGCTCGAAAAAGGTGTAGATGTCTTCATCCTGAATCAAATCCCACAAGTGAGCAAACCAAAGATTTCTGTATAGGACCTAAAGCTTGGTAATTGAAACACACCTTAGCTAGAAAGTGGCCAATACATAGAACATAATCAATGGGTTCCTTCATGCCTTTGTTATGAACTATTTCTCCAAGGATTCGATCAATTGCTGCACCCTACATATTAATGAAAGCATGACAATATACTACAACGCTGTGATTCTGATTGGAATAGCAGAACAGGTGCGAATGATACCTTTGTAACACCAACGGCTCTAACCTCAACAGATCGGCTACCTTGGACAACATCAAGAGATGCATTGGAGATTGGACCTGTCCAAAGATGCTGCAACATATCCCTTGCTTGAAGTCTTCCAAACTCAACATCTAGATTTTTAGTTATGTTCAGATAATAAATCAATAAACGTAACAAACCAATATAAAGCTTAAAAGTATAATGTGATTATTTATATAGAAGGGACAATACGAAATTAGTGAAGGTTATTGACGAGGACCTGCATACTTATAGTTCCATATAAGTGAAGTTTCACGGAGCTCAAAATAAGATCGAGGAGTTCTTTCAGTAAAATATTCGAATACGTGCTGAAATCAGGAATAAGCATCAGAAAGTCCGGAGCCTGGAGAACTCCACATGGATTATACTAAACTTAATCTAACTAATGTATGCACCTTAACGCTGTCCACCCAATCCATGTTTAAATTTTCTGGCATTGTTGTCATCCACTCTCCCCCTGTTACTCGTAAAAACATCCCATTTTCTGCTGCCAACCACAAGTTGTAATCACCAAAGTTCTGTAGGGCAAATTATTAGTTCACAGATAGAAACAGGATTATAGTTAGAAAAATTACAAATAAGCATACATCATCCAGGACACTTCTGTCACTTCCACTGAGGACAACAATTGTTGTCTTTGGATCATCGCAAAGCTTCTTCAAGGGTTCTTGTAAATCCGGGTGTAACTTAAGCTCCAATTCTTTAATTTGACTGGCCTTCCTCCCAAGGGTATCCACTGGTTCAGTTAAAGTTGCATTTAGTCCCTGTAAACATGGAAGTGCAATCATGAAAGTGAAAATGCAAATAATAAGTAACGGTTTTCCCCTCTTTTCTCTTCCTCAAACGTTCAGAGAGAGACCAGGGGCTCTTTCTACAGTGTTAAATAAAGGAACATACCAGTATCAGCAAGCGGTTATTGGATTGTGAGTAACGATCAACAGCAACTTCAATAGGAAGTATTGGTGGAATTTGTCTTAACCTTAATTGGGCTTCAACAATGGTATCATTAAGTTCACTGCAAAAGTCAGCTTCAGAGAGTATAATACAATTGAAACAAGAGATAGACATAAGACAAAGCAAAAGGGAAACCACCCAATCATCCATTATGGAGAGTTCAAATTCTACAACTTAAATTCCAAGAATTTGAAAAGTAAATTAGTGTTCTTATTTTGTTTTAATATCAAAAAAATGAAAGGAAAGGGTTGAAAGTAAGGCCTTATTTTCACTCTTCCTGTCACATCATAAGCACTGGTCTCTCCTTCTCTTATGTTTTCAGCAAAGAAAATACCAGGACGGAGATATATGATCAACACCTTACAAAGGTTGCAGCCCATTCTTGAGATGTGTGTGTAGTCACATGCATGAAATTATGGTGGTGGCGTTTTTCTCTTTCATCAGCTGGCATATTCAAAGCATAGCCGATGGAAGAAGCAACTTCAGTGATATTCCATGGATTAACCAAAATGGCTCCAGCACCAAGAGACTGAGCAGCCCCTGCAAACTAGAAATAAACAGAGAGGTTATTATGAAAATTTAAGCTTCGCACTTTGGAAAGAGATTAGATAACCAGATAAATCATATCTAAGTACCTCACTTAGTATAAGTACCCCTTTCTTGGAAGCTTGGCAGGCAACAAACTCGTAGCTCACAAGGTTCATTCCATCTCTCGAAGATGTTACAAGAGCAACATCTGCACAATTTTAATTGCCAAACGATTGGACATGCCTAAGAAAAGTTATCATTCAAAACAAAGAATAGTGATTCAAAATTGTGTTATGGCACATAAGTCAGTACCAGTAACAGCATATAGTGCGCATAATGCTTGAAAGTCAAGAGAACGATCCTGTAAAAGAGTAAGGAAAGCTCTTTAGAAATCTTCACATTGTCAATCAACAATAACGGACATAAGTCCAGAAAATATGAGCTCAAAACTTATTGAGGCATGTCAAAGCTGATATCAAAGGATGGAGAATGTTTCATCTTCCGCAGCAAAAAATATAATCCATTCAGGAAAAAGAAAGGGGGTAGAAAAAAGAAAAATTGTTTGATGTCTCCTTCTCTGAGAGAGTGTAAATATTTGCTGCAAGTTAAATCAACTAAATAGACCATTGGTAGGCCTGACAGTGAGCATTAAACCATTCGTTAAGTTCCTTTATCATACTCTAGTGACAGATGTAAAAAGATAATAAATAAGGTAAAGGCAAACCAGATGATGTATTGGTACAGCAGTAAGAGTTCCAAATCTTCCATTAATGCGCCCAACAATCTCATGGACCTGGCTTGTAAGCTTTTGATCTATGAAATTAAGAAAACAAACATGTAAGATTTTGAGGAGGAGGGGAAGAGGGAGAGGGTTGAAAGCAACATTAAGGTTAGCTAACAAATAATGACAACATAGTCAAAGAAACATCCAATTATCAGCAAATGAAATGAAATGATATTCTGAAAAGCACAACCTAATTCTTAAAGCAGGGTAAACTGCGCCTAGAAAAGGATGAAAAAGGACTGAAATGGAGGCAGAATAATAGTGGTGGTAAACAAGCAATAAATGACTCAGGCAAAACGCATTCATTATACAAAACAATTGGATGAAGATGAG